TTTACTAATTATATACAAGATTGGGAATTATTTAAACATTCGTTATACACAGCTCAGCTCTTAAATATTTTAATGTATGATTTTCCTTTTCTCTTTCATGAACACATAGATAGGTAATGTAGAGCATGTTCCACTCATCTCACATAACAGAAGATCTTCTTGCTCTCTGGCTCTCCATATTTCCCAATGTGGGATGTTTGCCTGACATGTATTAGAAGAATGGGATCTCTTTATGCTTGATCTCATTCTGCGAATATTTGAAGATACAGTCCTTTGCAAGGGAGTTCAGTACAGATTTACATGTATCAATATTTAAATTATTCTAACTCCACAAATTACAAGTACAAGTGTAAAGTATAAATTTAACATATGCATGTGAATCTAAATAGACTCAAAGTGATGTGGCTGATGAATTAGGAGATCGCTGAATCTAAATATGAAATGTTCCCGGATTTGAAGTCGTTTCTATTAGACGGCTCCATGAAAGTTTACTTTTAAAGAATGTGTTTTTGCGGTCTGAATGCTTCAAAAATAACAAGATTATATATTGAATTCAGGATTCAGTGGCTATCGATTGAGAGTTCAAAATCACAAATCCACTTTTTTAAACGTGAACAATTCTCACATTGTGTTACAGACAGGGTTTGAAAGACAGGGACAAAAATCCACCTTCGTGCTTTCAGCACCTACACTGGAGCTTTAAACCTGCTCCAGGCTCAGCGAGTGTTGATAAAAGAAAACTGAGGGATGAGCAGGACAGGTTTCCTCAAGCACACGGGATGTTGCTCTGGTTCTCTGCCCCATGCATTGCACATTATTGACATGTTATGCACCGTGTGTGTGCCTGTGAGTGTGTGGGGGGGAGGGTCAAAGTGTGAGTGTGCCAGTGACATTTTCTACTATCTCCTTTGTGGAGCCGAAGTTCTTGGCAAGTACACTCTCTGTGGAAGGCAAAATAATGGCCCCTCAATGAGGTTCATGTCCCAGTTCCTAGTATCCATGGATGCTGTCTTACATGACTAAAGAGTTTTTGCACATCTGATTAAATTCAGGACTTGGAGGTGGGAGATGATCCTGGAAATTTTGGGTGGATCCAGTGCAATCACAAGGGTGCCAATGTGGAAGGCAGAGGCAGAAGAGGAAGAGAAAGAGGTGCCTTGCAGGCCCCACCTGTTGCCACTGATTTTGAAGAGGGGAAAGGGCCACAGACCAGGAGCTCAAGAAGTCTCTAGATGCCAGAGACAACAAGAAAGCCACTTCTCCTGGGCAGCCTGAGAGGGGAATTCAGCCCCGCTGACACCATGATATTAGCCCAGCAAGTCCTGGGTCTGATTGTTGGAACTGTAGGATAATACATTTGGGTTGTTTTAAGCCACTAAGATTGTGGTAATTTGTTAGAGCAGCAATAGGAACCTGATGTATTCTCTGACACCCCTTTTTTATTTCCGGATGCTTCTAACGCGGCGTGTGGCACAGAAAAAGACTCTGAGATCCCTGGCACTTGATCATTCTGGTACATCTCTTCGTTCTCTGTTAAGAATAACACGTTTGCCACCCTATTCCATACTGGACCAGGACGGCATTAAACAGGCTTCCTCTGTTTGCAGATGACAAAAATCTGACACAAAAGAGCCTAATGTAGTAAAAAGGCTCAGAGCGCCTCTCCCATCACTCTGACCTCTGAGGGTGGAGCCGGCTTCATTCCCTGCTGAGTCGAGAGCCCAAATCAGCCGACTAAGATTCCCCACTGCTTTTTTTCTTTCTGGATGCAGGTTTTTCTGTGTCTGTGATTCACAAGTTTCTCGTGGCTCCTTTCTTTCGGGGAAGGCTTCTGAGCATGCCCCAGGGTAGAGGCTGAAGGCACAAATGTGAATTTTTATTCCTTCCTCCTTTCTACCTCGAGAATTAACAATCTTCATCTGTAAATAATGTGATCACTGATAAAGTTTTTAAAAAATGGACTTGTGACTTTGAACTCTTTCCCAGTATTTTCTTGAATCCCGAATTCAATGTGGAGTTTGGCAGCCGGGCAGGGCTGCTGGATGGGAGACTCTCCTCCTTCCTGCGGCCGCTCCTCCTGTCTGAGTTGGACTTCTCACTGCGTGGTGACCTGAGAGCAGCTGGGCTTTGCTGCTCTGTGCAGCTCCAAGTTGTTGTGCCACATTCTGTTGATTGAAGCAGATCACAGCACCCAGCCAGATTTAAGGAGTGCCTACTACATACACAGGCACGGACAGCACTGTCACGGTCCATTGGGGCCACCAGAGTAGCAGCTTACCACAGTGGATAGTGGACCTTTGTGACCAGGGCCCCAAATCAGACCATGGGGAAAAATGATCGGGCAGTGCCACCAAGGAAATGGGACTGGAAACAAGTTCCAGTACCCACAACAGTTTCTTCCGGGAGTGTTAGCAATTGCTGAAGCAAAGCTACATTATGCTCTAAGTATATTTACTATACAATTCGTATATTTTCTGGAGTCGGGGAGGAATTACAAATTTAGGTTTAAAATGAAAGAAACTAAAACTTGTTTTCCTTTCAATTTGTCTTATACTATGAATAGAAATGATGATACTATATAGAAACCCTGCTATAAAGGAATTAAACTCTGGAGGATTCTTGATGAATAAATGACAATGTCACTAGCCAGGTTGTTTTCCATGCCCTTTGGGTGTTGGATTGAAATATTTTCATCCTTCAACCCACATTTTTTTTTTATGATCTGTATTTATTGTTAACAGTACAGATCTCGAATTGTCAAATTACTTGAACTGATTTATGGTAATTTGCTTTAAGTTACAATATTTGAAATGCATTCAATTAATTTTATCTGGATTTTAGTGAAGAACAATAAGGTTTTAAGATAACAGGGTTTTATTTACAATATTAGCTATGCACATGTTGAAGTGTATGGTGGACTTAAATTACTCTCATTTGAATTTTATATTCAGAAAATGAACAGGCAGTATTGGGGATTAAAAAGTACTTGGGAAACGTACATATCAGGATTATTTGGGATGGAATTGCCCAAGATCCTGGAATACTGAGCACACACTTGTTGACTGATTTTACCTGAGGCAAATATGAAGCAATAACAACCATATAAATTATTCAGAGACTCACCATCCATATTGGGACTCTTTAAAGATCACTTCAGAAAACATTTTGGCAGGATATTCTCTTTATACTTATTTTTTTTTCCAATTCCCTGTACAAAAGAGCTATAGATCCATACGGAATGAATTAACACTGATTATTTAAAAATGAAATTAAATATTTTAAAACATTAGGTGGCAACTGGATGATCTTTCCTAGCTGAAGCTCTCCTTGGTAGTTTATCTTAAATATTATTTTTTTGTCTTTTCAGGATATTATATAGTGAATGTAAGAGATTTATTAAAAACCTTGGGTTGCTTGAGAGTACTTTCAGGACTTTGCCTTGAAATCTGCACACAAGCAAAATTTCTGATATTCTGAGTTGGGATTTCCAGTGTAAGAGGATTTCAGATGGCTGCCCGGTATGGCTCCCTAAGCACTGTCTATCAGAATGGCCCAGCTCAGACTAAAATAGGGCAGCGGCAGACACACGGAGTGAAAGAGACCAATTTAGACCAAGTCGAAGGTATCAAGTTCTTTTAAAATGGGCTCCTCAGTCTATAGAGAGATTTTATCCAGCTCAAAAGTAGATCGAAAACTCAGCAATTGCATAGTTCTGCATTTCTGAGTAGGAGACCCGGACTGGATTTCTATTCTTTAAAGTGGTTTGAGACAGAGTGTTGGAAAGATGCTTTGGTATTTGCAGATATGGGGTTAGAGACCCCAAATATCTGTTTACAAGTCCTGTGACTAAGAAGTATACAGACACTTTTTTTTCCAAAGTAAGATTTTTGGGGTTTCAACCCTGTGACTGAGAAGCATACAGACATTTTGTTTTCCATGATAAGATCTTTTTGGGGTTGTTCTGAAGATTCAATGAGAAAATGTCAAGGTACTTCCTAAACTTCAAAGTATCATGGTATTCAACTTTACATTATTACTACTAGTAATGAATAAAATATACATGGGTAATTTGGTCTATAAATGAAACATTGAAAAACACAGGTAGACTGGATCAATGTTATTTGTTGAAAATGGGCTTACTTAAAAATATAATGTTTATAGCAGCCCAATTCACAATAGCTAAGCTATAGAACCAACCTAGGTGCCCTACAACAGATGAATGGATAAAGAAACTGTTGTACATATACACAATGGAATAATACTCAGCCATAAAACAGGCAGACACTGTGTATGACTTTTGTATGTATGACTTTTGCTGGTAAATGGATGACTCTGTAGACTATCATGCTAAGTGAAAGACACCAATCCCAAAAACCAAAGGTCAAATTTTCTCTCTGACTTGTGAAAGCTAACTCACAATAAGGAGGAGGAGGTGAGGGGAAGAATAGAAGTTCATTGGATTAGACAAAGAGGAATGAAGCAGGAAAAACAATAAAATGAATCAGACATTATTTTCTTATGTTCCCATATGAATACATCCCAGTGAATCTTCACATCATGTCTGCATTTCCTTCTCTGAGTGAATTAAAGGGTACTATTGACCACAAGAAATGGGATCCTAATTAGAATAAGGTATAATATGTCAAAATACACTCTACTTTCATTTATGTCTAAAAAGAACAAAGATTTTTTTTAAGTATATGCAAGGTTCCAAGTAGTAAATGTAGCCCTCTCATTATTTTAAAACTATTAAATCTTATTTTACTGGGCATAAAAATGTGGAGGAGAGGAGAGAGTCCACATTTTTGCTGAATAGTTGGAGATTGTGTTTTATGAGCCACAACCCACAAGGGTCGTGGCTGTTTGCCAAGAAAAATCACCTCCTGGTGTGGTTTCTGGAGATGACTGACACCCAGCCACAGGGTTGGCGGTGGGGTGGGGCTTGTGGGACTAGCGGGATGTTTTTATTAACAGCTTGTTTCTCTGTATTTCTCTCCCAGCCATCGGCAGGACCCTCATCCCCCGTTACTTTAGCACTGTGTTTGAAGGAGGGGTGACCGACCTGTATTACATCCTCAAACACTCGAAAGAATCCTACCACAACTCCTCCATCACGGTGGACTGCGACCAGTGCGCCATGGTCACCCAGCATGGGAAGCCCATGTTCACCAAGGTAGGCCGGGCCCGGAGCACTCGGGCATTTCCTTCCCTGAACCAATGAAGGTTTCTAATAATCACCTTCTTCAGGAACACTGAGCTGACTTCTCATCTCAGATCCCTTCGGCTCCCAGAGAGAGGCCTGGCTTGTGTGTGCGGCCTCCTCTGGCCTTCGTAGCTAAATCTGGGTTTGCATGTGGTGCACAAAGGGTCTTCCACAGCCAAAAGAACAGGTTCCTAAGGTGCAGTTTTCACACTGTATTATTTAAAAACAAATAAACAAATAAAGCCAAATTCAAATGTTAACAAACAGGGAGAAAAAAAATTCTAGCATCCACAATCAAACTGCGATGAGTAAGGAATATAAAAACAATGATATGTAGTGAATGAAAGTAGGGAATTCAGGCTTTAAAGGGTTTCTCCCAAATTTTTTTTTAAGAGTTCTGTGGTTGGAAAGTGAGCTGCCCAGCAAGGGAGCACAGTGGAGTCGGAGTGAGCGAGAAAGACAGGAGGGGAGGTGCAGAGAGTACCCTGCCCAGGCAGCCCTGGGAAGGACTTCAGGTATCAATAGAAGAGACAGAGCCAGGGGCATCTCACCATGTGACCCCAGCAGCTCCCCAGGCTGAGGCAGGAGGATCCCAAGCTCACAGCCAGCCTCAGCAACTTAGTGAGACACTGTCTCAAAAGATAAGAAATAATAAGGGCTGGGGATGTGCCTTAGTAGTAAGATGTCCCTGGGTTCAATCCCTGGTACAAAGAAAAAGAAAAAGAAAAAAAGAAGAAGAAAGAGAAGAGATGAAGATTCAGCCTCAGCCTCTGTACATCTTACCCCTGCCATCCATGCCCTATGCAGAAAATTGGTATGGACCCTCTTTTTTACCAAAGACCTTTCTAGAACACTGCAGATATCCATCCCCTTCATGTCCTCTCTCTAGTGGAAAAATTAGTAAGGACAAATATTTACTCAAAGAATCTGGCAAATTATTTTATTTATTTATTCATTTATTTGGGGGATGCTGGAGTTTGAACCAGGGTCTCACGCCTGTGAGCACATACTCGACCACAGATTCACACCCCCAGCCCCCAGAAATTCATTTTCATGAACGCTGGCTCCCTGCATTTGGGCTAAGACTCCATGTAAAACTGATTTATGATACTAATGACAGCAGCAATCTCTTAGTACAAAACACATATGACAACCCTATCTTCATAGTTAAAAGACATTGAATCATCAGGGTTAATTACTAAACCATAAAAACGGAAGACGTATTTGTTACTTAGGCAGCTTTGCTGCAAGAATAAAAATACAATGTTCCTTATTTATTCATTGATATCAGTGGCTCACTTTAATCTTTCTGGTGCCCAGGCTGGTGCCCATGGGAAAGGAAATGTTTATAAAATGCACAGATAAGCAGTAAAATGCCACTGATTCTATGGTGTCCTGATTTTGACACTAGACGTTTTAAATGTGCGACAGGGTTGGGCTCTCTCTTTCTTCCTGTTTTAAGAACTGGGCAGAGAGGAAAGTTGTGGTTCTGAGACAAAGAAGCCCCACACGAAGTGCAGAAGACCCTGAGGGTGGAGCTTCCTATATGGAAAGGAATGACACCTGAGTGGTGGTTTCTTTATTCCCTGGATTCCATGGTTCATGGAGCACTGCAGAGAAAATCTGCTTCTGCTGCTTCACTATCAGTTCTCTCTCTCTCTCTCTCTCTCTCTCTCTCTCTCTCTCTCTCTCTCTCTCTCTCCCCTCTCTCTCCTTAATGTTACTTTTAGGTAATTCAAGGAAAACATACCACCTCCTTATGCTTTAAGGGACCAAAAAAAACTCCGTGGTAATTAAATAAGGCTTTGCCTTAATGAAGGAGCAACTACTAACATCTGCAGACATAGAAAATAAAAGTGCATTTCATAGCAGTCCTTTTATATATTTTCTCAGTTTCTTCCTTTCTCAGGCCAAAACTTTCTCATTAATGAACACAGTTAGTTGCTCTGAAGGCAAAGTGCTCAACATTCCAGAATTTATTTTAGATCAAAAAGATTTGCATTCTTCCAATGAACTGATAAAGTGCTAGTTTCATTCCCATCAAGAAACCAAGATTTTCCTGGGTCCCCTTCTTTCTTTTCCTGGAATCTTCCCCTCCCAGATGGTTGAGGGGTTGGTTCGGGCACCCAAGGCACCGGAGAGACCCAAGTACTCCCCTGAACGTGGCTCCCTTGGCCCCAAGCACCAGTTGTTTGGACCACCCATCTCACTCCACTCCATGGCAGCTTGTCTACCACTCATGTAATGAATATTTCCCTACCGTGACTGTGATGAACAATATCACAGGGAGATTAGTTTATAGGCACCTAGTCCGAGTGCTAATTTTATGTACACTTATTTTTAGGAAATTTGTTAAAATTCATTTGTTGTATTCTTCAGCCCTTCCTTCCTTCTCTTGTTGACTTAGGGATTATTGCACTAACCAAAGAATCCTTCCAATTTTTCTTTTGCTCTTATATTCATTAAAAATAACTCATCCTCATATAATAAAATACCATGGCGATTCAGAATGAAACAGTGGGCTAATGACCTTTCAGTATCACAAAGAAAAACTTGGGAATCCAGTGTTTATTTATTTATTTTTTTTGCTATTAGTACCTGGCACATTATATATCTGTGAGCAGCATCATGTTGGTCTAATTTAGACTATCAATAAACTCTCGTTCCCCAAATAGCATTTGACCTAGTGGTTCTCGGTTGCTTTTATGAAAATTTGGTCAACTAGTGAATCAAAAATCAGCCGCAGTCCTAATCAACGGTAATATTAAATATTCCTCAGGGGTATAGTGAGCATTTTGCAATTTCCTGATACCAGGAACATTATAGGTTAAGGATAAATATGCAATTAGAATTTTAAAACACACATTATAGGGCCTTTCTTTTATGCTTTCAATTTTGAGTCAAACAGAAAACAAAGCTTAATAATCAGAACAGGCATCAAGCTTTGCAGAAGCAAAGACCCCTGAGTTACATTTAAATTTGAGGCTTTGAACAGTAGCAGACGTGGAGAGGAACACTGTCCGTGACATCCTTGGGTAGTTTTAGGTTTTGCAACCTGAGACAAGAGTCACAGCCATCCTGGACACCTTCACCACCTCTGTGAATATAGGATGGTGTTTTCTCTGTTCTTAATTATTTATTGTGAAATTACTAACTACTGTAAAAAACATACTCAGAAAGTGGCCAGCCAGTTTTTCTGGATGAACACTCCCTTTTGTCTTTGACAGCCCGTCTTACCTTAGCCAGCATACCACGTAACTCTCCAGAATTTCTGTTCTTCCTCTGACTTTTGCCAAACTATTGGCAATGATCATATTGCTTTAATGTGCATTTACACACACAGGGATCTCTAAGTAAGATCCAGAGAGCTTTATGCAACCATTAATCTGAAAGCACTATGCCATGCAGGCTGTTCAAGCATAAAGACTAAGGAAATTAAATAAGCACTCCCACCTAAAAAGGCACACTTTATTTCATAACAGCAGTATGAGAAGCATTGTATTATACAACTACGTGGTCAGGTCCATGTTGCTTTACAATTAGTCAAAGAAAGAAAAGGGTTAAAAAGCTACTGGTTAGTTTGAGAAATGTTCTTTTTTAGTTCTCTTGTTCCTGGCCTAGTCTCAAGGTAGCACGTGATCTGCTGAATGCCTGCCAGCCTCTTTCTTGTTGATCCTCCGGAGACCATCTGTGCTGGGGGCATTGATTAGAGTGTGTCTGCTGGGATTACATCTTTTCTGTTGCCATGCCAACTAATCAGCTGATTTTGGTTACCACAGAAACAAAATGTCAGAGCTCACAGTACGGTAACATGAATTCAGCACAACAGAAAATGTTTTCTTAATTGGGGACCCTTTTGATTTTGGATTCCAAGAGAAAGGCAGCTTTAAAAAAAAAAAAAGGCCAACTTTAGATAAAAGCTACATTAATTGTATTGATTAAGAGTAATGCACAGAATATTTTTTGAAGGGAAAAGATATTAATTTCCTTTCGAAGGCTATGCCTATCTTTTTTTTTTTTTATCATTTCCGAGCAAGGAATACATATATTTTTTCATATGTGCCTCTATTCCGTTTCCTGAATGTTGCATATAAAACAAATCACAAAGCCTCTGGTTTCATTTAACTTCCATTATGAGAGCAGAGAGCTGCCTAGGACCTGGAATGAAGCTGTGGGTAATTATGTGGGGAATGCGAAGAGTGACCAAAATTCTCCTTCGTTCTTTCATTCAAGGAAGTCATTGAATTTTTCTTAAACACACACACACCCAACACAGCCATCTCAGATTGCACCCGAAGGATGTCCATCTTGCACATGGTAGGTCCTGGTAAAAGTTGTCTCCCTGGTTTGGACTTGAAGAGAAAGAGCCCAAGGCTTGTAACAATTTTCCATTTGGTAGGCCCGTGACCGTTTGACTGCAAGAGAGGTCCCCAACTGGCTTGCTATGTCACAGTGCAAAGAACACAATTTAGCTTGACCTTACAGATGCTCCAATTGAGTAATCCATCAGAAGGACTGCATACATGCCTTCCCATTATGAAATTCTGTTCAGTAGAAGGAAACCAAAACCTCTGCCTGCCCTGAGTTTGTGGTTCATAAACACAAAACAAATAGATTAGATAATAAAAAAAGCCTGACATTTAACTGGGGTAATATTTGTTTAAATATCCAATAATCCCTTCTCTTTAAGAAGAGGATTATAGCTCCAAATATCCCTGTCCCGTATTGTCAGGACATTCTGCTGTTGATAGCTGGCTGGATCTACCTCCCTTTTGTTAAAGTTGTCACCGTGGGTGGCTTCTGTCACACTAACATCCCTGGGAGAATTGTGCTGCTTGATCTCCACACAACTCTTTGGAAAACCGTGGTAAATGAATTCCAATGCTGAGGCTGCTCTCAGGGAAGTATTTTGGGACCCTGGAGTCTTCCACATTCTTGTGTCCTCAGCTCTCATGGCTAAAAAAAATCCAGAAATGAGGCTCTGAAGGTGATCTGACCCAGGGTTTTGGGGGCAGGGTGCCCAAATGCCTAAAATCACCCACAGATCTTGCTAATTGGATCTGAGGTAGAGGTCTTCACTCAGCTTATCAATAATTATCTTACAGTGTTTCTAAGATCTTTGATAAAAAGATGGCAGAAGTTCACAGCGACTTTCTTGAACAGTGCTCTATTAGCACTTGATAGTTATTCTGTACTATATTTGGCTTGTTAAAGGAAATATTACCTTCAATCAGAGTGTGTGGAAGGCAACTAGCCTAGTTCTGAGGACACAGCTATAACTCAATAAATGGTGACATTTTGTATTAAATTTCTAACAAGGAAATTGGTCAGTAATATTTCATAAAAGGTTGATATAAATTGTTAACCATCTTCATGGACTGTAGTTTTAGTCACACTCATTGCCTCTATTTGGTGACTATTTATTTACTTATAAATGTGTACTTAAAAGTTTCTAGAGTTTTGTGGGTTTCGTTTAATCTAAGAAATCTCTCTCCAAATAAATCTTGATAAGAAGTCCAACATGGGCTGGGGATATGGCTCAAGCGGTATCGCACTCGGCTGGCATGCGCGGGGCGCTGGGTTCGATCCTGAGCACCACATAAAATAAAATAAAGATGCTGTGTCCACCGAAAACTGAAAAAGAAATATTAAAAAGAAATTCTCTCTCTCTCTCTCTCTCTCTTAAAAAAAAAAAAAAAGAAGTCCAATATGTTAAAACAGATATAATCAAAGGGGCTCTGGTGGAATCCAGTAAGTAGGTGGAGGTTAGAATTCAGGGTAGAGGGTAGACGCACAGTTACTCCCAATAGAGCCCCAGGATGCCTCCTAGGAACCCCCACAGCTCAGCAAGCACCTTGGGACAACCAGGTCTAGGCTTCAGCACTATCTTTGGCAGATTCTTGTCCATCAGGTGTAAATCACTGCCATTCTACTTAGCAATCCACCTACTTAATTTCCTTCCATTTATTTTTCTCACTCTCCTACCTGTGAATAATGTTATCTCTTTTTAATAGATAAGGAATGTGGAATTTAGGGGATATATTTGCTTTTCCCAAAGTTCAGGAATGAGTAAAAATTAAGTCCTCTAACCACTATTTTGTACTGCTTCCCGAAGGCTGATTAATTTAAACTGGACCAATAGGGGCTACCACCACTCCCATCTCAGGTGAGAAAAGCTCACACCACACCACGGAAGAACAGGAATGTGAGGAAAGGCAGGAAGTGGGAGAGAACCGTCGTGAGGGTGTATCTCGTGTGCTGGGCGTGTTTGACCCAACATTCCTATGAGATGCGTTCTGTCTCCATGTATGCAGAAGGAGAAATGGAGGTTCCTAGCGTCAGCAGCAGTTAACAGAGACACAAGCACCTCATGACTGGAAAGCCATTGTGCTGTCTTTGCAACCCGTAGATCTGGAGCTGACAACCTGTCCCCGTTGTGTTATGAGTGAATCACTTGTGTCAAGTCTTTTGCCAAGAACCAGCACCACTCAAAGACAGTACGGGGTTAAGAACTCAGTGAGTTTTAAAATGTGGCTCCTGCAAAATGCATAGCAAATGAGTGTTTTTGTTTCTTTTAGGTGTGTACAGAAGGCAGGCTGATCTTGGAGTTCACCTTTGATGATCTCATGAGAATAAAAACATGGCACTTTACCATTAGACAATACCGAGAGTTAGTCCCGAGAAGCATTCTAGCCATGCATGTAAGTAATTTAATTCCTATTTTACTTTCTTTGCTTTTTTTTTTCTCACTTCATTTTTCTCCAGTGGAAGAACCTAGTTCTCTCCCTCCCTCTGTGTGTGTATGTGTGTGTGTATGTATGTGTTTGTGTGTGTGAAAAAACTCTAGTAGTCGTCACGCTTTAGGTAATTAACTCTAAATATTGAGTTTTGCCCTCAACAATTTAAAACCACAGGCTTATGTTTTGATGCCTTTGTTTCCAAGTTTAGGGCATTGTGAGACTATTTTCAGTATTTTGTTATTTTGAGACGATTTTAAATTCTTTATTATTTTAACTCCAAATTGAAGTTACCTCAATAAATGGTTTGTTTTTTTTCTTAAATTCCATTCAGTCGTTATCAAGTAGGGCTCAGCCTGGGCTAATAAACCCGTTATACATAAACTGGGGTGTAAATTAAACAGGAGCAGTTTCCAACTTTGATTCAAACCTTCTGATGACACGCGGGACACCCACACCTTCAGGTCTGTGTGTACAGGAGTCGGTCCTTCCCAACGGTGGTGCTGGGTTTGAGGTGGAATGTTTGGGGTTCTCTTGGTTTCATTTGGCCATCAATCATACCAACTTTATTGAGCCCCAACTAGGTCAAGTGTGGATTGGATACTACTCTAGAGCTCTGTTTACAAGGACAGGGGGAAGTAGCCAGCATGATCCCTGAGGAAGGAGTCAGCATCGGCTGAAGCGAGTTCCTTCTCTGTTCTGCACAAAGCAGCAGCTTCCAAGAAAAAAACAAAAAAAAACCTTTTAGAACAAAATCAGAGTTAATGAACCTGATTTTTAAACCTGGAGTAATCGAAAGAATAAAATCGCAGTGGGTAGCATGATGAGTGTTTGCTATGCCAGGCCTTGCACTAAACATTTTGCATACATCACGATTTTTATTCTCACGGTGGCTTACCAAGGCAAGTTCTTACTATTCCTACTTGAGAAATGAGAAAACTGAGGCTCAGAGAAGTTTGATAAATTTCCCAATGTTTTTTCAGCCCCAGAGTGGCAAAACCAATGTTTTGGCTCAGTTGGTTCCAACTATAAAGCCCATGGCGACCAGCCTGTGTCTCCCAGCTGTCTGGCTCTAGGATTTTGCACCCCTACCTTCTTGTCCTGATAGGTTAGCCAGTCTCTGTCTTCTCCACTGCCCTTGGTTTCTCTGCTTTTCGGGCGTTTCTGACCCAACATCCCTATAAGACAGGTTCTGCACCTCCTTTCTGACTATCCATGTCCTTCATAGTTTTTAGAACCCAGTTCTCATCCCTCACTGTCCTGGAAGAAGTCTGGACTAGCCACTCTGATTATTCTCAAAATAGACTGAGATGCAGCCGGGGGAGTGGGTAGATGGAAATTGCATTGGCTCTTATTCCCGTTCATGTGTGGCCTTGGGAGAATGACACGACATCTCTGTGCTTCCTGTCCCTCATCTGCAAAGGGTACAGTAATAAAGTGTGTCTCAGATCAATCAAGTCGAGATTTACCAGTTAATAACTGTGAAGCACTTCGAATGGCAAGAATTGGTGGTCAGTTTTCATTGTCAGCAGCAGACGCATTCTTCTATTCCTCTATTAGCGTCCTGTCTTCTGACTGCATGTAAGCTCTTGCCATTGGCCATGATGCTTGATGCATCTGTGTAGATTCCTCTGTGTAACCAGCTCTTCCTAGAGAGGTTCGGTAAACACAGTCTCAATGTCCATAAAGACTGCCTTTCAAGAAATTGACATGAAACTTGTATCCTCTATTTTCTCCTGTGCTTTGTAATCTATTTATATACACAGATCTAATCGCTTCTCGGCCTTTTGGCTAAGATCAAGTGTGTATATACACAGACCCAATTGATAGTATCACTGTAAGAATAAATAGAGAAGAGAATAAATTAAAGTCAATTTACTATAACCTGGGTAGTATCATGAATGCAGATGTGGAGGCAAAGGGTCATATACTTAGGCCTCCCTCTGCATAAGGTCAGTTTGTTTATACTAAGTAAGAAAGAATCAAGAATGAGCAGAAAGAAAGCACACCAACCAAGAGACTCATTTTAAAATGGAATGCAGAAAGAATTTTCATTTTTTGTTGGGCCAAACATAACATTTTGGGGTGGCCATAGTACTTTACATCCATATTAAAATGTGGCTCAAATTTTTGGAAAACGTGATCCTTACCCTTAAAGTCCTGCAGGATGAAAATTGTCAAGGATAGTTATTTCTAGCCTCATCTTAACAGGAAGGTGTTTCTTTCTCTCTCTCACTTTCGCTCTCCCTCCCTCCCTCTCCCTCTCTCTCCATATTATACATATATATTTTTCCATAGTGGTTGCAAAGTTTTCAAATACAGTTCTCAACCCTGAGCTGTAAAAACGGCACCACTATCTCAGTGGGAAACAAAGGCACAGCTCTGCCAAGTTCAGAGGCGCCTGAATTCAGGGCTCTGGCCGAATTCTCCTGGCAGGGCTCAGAGGCTCTCAGCCCAAAGACACAGAGCCAGGCCTCTTTCAGAGAAAGTAACGTCATTTCTCCCTAGCACTGAATGCGCCTCAGAGGCAGTTTGATTTTCCCTAGTCTTGCACAATTGATCCAAAAATGTCCTTGAGTGCTATATGCAAGTGTCTTCAAAATGTAAATTAAATTGTCTCCAGCAATCTGTCCCTCCAAGAAAAATCGGCAGTGTCAAGATTGCATTTCTTAACAGCAGCAGCACAGTCTAAGATTTTTGTGGGACCTCCTCACAGGGATAAAATATGTGATTTTTTTTGTTGTTGTTTACTTGTTTGTTTAGGCACAAGATCCTCAGGTCCTGGATCAGCTTTCCAAAAATATCACCAGGATGGGTCTAACGAACTTCACCCTCAACTACCTCAGGGTAAGACCATTTGGAATGTCTGGATTTTCCAGTCAAGTTTGCAAAGTGCTTCAGAGATTTCTGTGCATCTGGAACTAAGAGATGCATGTTCTGTCCCACAGTGTGTGTGTGTGTGTGTGTGTGTGTGTGTGTGTGTGTGTGTATTCAACAGAGGATATGGCTTAAGTAACAAAGCATCAAACCTAAAATTTTTCAGGGTTGAGCTTCCTCTGTACATTTGTGTGAATCTTGGACTTAATTATTCAAAGTTATCAATATCTCCAATTCAAAAAATAAGTTGATGTTACCACTCTTCTGGTCATCTTGGGATTTTAACATGCTACAGTTGAGTTCACTGCCTCTGTACATCCACTCCGGGATGTGTCCCCACGTGGGAGAATCAGCATGCTGTCGTCCCCAGAGAGTCGTGGTGGTGGTACGGTCTCCTTAAGAAATTCCACACAGTACTGTGACAGACATTTCTAAGCCTTCTCCGTGTTTCTCTGAATAACATGTAACAGATTTTTTCTGGTTTGGATTAAAATGTAGTTTTTACTTGAAAAATTAAGTGTTTTAAGCAAATTTCCTGCCCAGACGATACTCACAGCCTATTTGGCCTAGAAGGGTGGCACTGTCACACCAATTGTTCAGATGGAGTCACAGGGGTCGTTGCAGGTGGAGTAGATGCTTCATTCACAAAATGAGCATTGCCCTCCAGGATCCACGGGGAGCAGGGCTGCGTCCCACGTGCCTTTGCCTCCGAGATGTTGAGCTCCTTGGGCCGGAATCTCCTACCCTGCATCTCCCACCCTGTCACTAAGTTTATGCTGTTCCTTCTTTGTCCTTAGAGCGACGGATTTGTGAAGTTCCTTTTGTATTCACTGTTGTCTATGTGCAAATCATTTTGCATCTGGTGAGATGCTGAAATGCTTGGGCCACGCTTATTCTTGAATTATGAATGGTTTGCGTCGATTCTTCCAAGTCACTCACATATTTCTAAACACTGAAGGTGCAAAGACAGAAGTCATGCTAGTGCATAGAAACACACTGCAATGACAGCAGACCGTAGAGAGGAGAAAACACAGAGAGCGGTGGATACTCTGATGGAAGTCTCCAAAAGGAAGTATGAGAGCACAGAAAACAGACACCCGAGAGGAGTCAGCCCGTGGAGGCTTCATGGGCAAGATGATGTGAGAGTTGGGTGTGAAAGACTGAATCAGGTAAAACAGATGAAGGGGACAGGAGGATATTTCCACCAGACAGGAAAAAGGACTGTGCATTAGGGATGGCATTGCAAATGGTTCATGATGTCAGGACTTGGAATGAGAAGCTGGGGGCGGGGAAGGGGTGAAAGGGAAAGTCTCGGAGCAACTGGCTGGCGGGGCTGCTGGTCAGGGGAGTTCTTTGGGGAAGAGAAATCTCTGAAAGCATTAAACAGCAAGAAGACAGAGTCCTTGTCCTGTGTAGAAGGGGGAAGATTCTTTCCATGTGTAGACTAGATGCCCTGGAGCCAAAACCAGACCTGGCAGGAGCTAGGATCTGCCATACTCTCTCCCAGCTCATCCCAGCACCTCTGCCATTTTGACAGTGCTGAACCAATGAGTAGGCCCATGGTCTGTTCAGAAAGAGGCCACAGACTGCCCAGGGCTATGGGTAGACAGGCAGGTGCTCCTGCCAGAGAAATTGGAGCCATGACCTCCCAAACCTCCAGGCTCTGCATTCAGAGCTGGCCCTGTGGCGGGGTGGCTGGCACAGTGGGGGTGGGCAGCCAGGCCTGGAGAGTGAGGGTCTGCAGGGTTATTCTCTGCCTAAGAATCCAGAGGGCTACTCCAGACCACTGCACTTCATCTTGCTAGAGACCTGGAGAGATTTAGGTAAAAATTGAAGATACCCCTTCCCAGGGAAGGAAGAAGTTCCACGTTGCATCCTGAGCTGACCCTTCTTAGGGGAGTCTGTCCCAGACTGTGTGACTAACCCCCACTCTGGCCAGATCTTAGATTCTTAGTTATATCATTGAATGGTCTTAAAAATTGATACATGCTAAATTTCCTTCCACCTCCCCTCCGCTGCTTCTCATGGCCAGCTGTAAAAGATTGATTTCCATCCTGTGGTCAAGGCCCTCCCAGTCCCCACATCCTGCAGACCTTGTATTTCAGCCCACAAGGAGTGAGAAGAGGGAAGAAGGGCAGCCCCCCTCACCAACCGTGAACCAGGGAGCCATTTCTGGACCTGGGTGTTCTAGAGCATCATCTGGAGGCTGCCACTTCTGTGTTTTGCTTACTACCTGCCAGGTCCTGGACCACATGGTCACTATCCCCACAAGACAGCGAGGGGCAGAGAGAGGTTGAGTAAATGAAGAAGTCACTCAGCTTCACACAGCAAGTGGCCAGATTGGGACTGGGACCCAGGCAGTTTGCTTCGCACACTGCGGCACTGCTGCCTTATTAATAAGAAATTAAGGACGAAGGTGCTGATAGCAGCCAGGTCTTGTCTGTCCTGCTGGCACTGGGGAGTCAGCCTCTGTCCCTCACACAGGTTCACAGTCACCAAGAATGGCAGGTTTATTTCCCCACTTAAGAACTTAGATTTAAGATTCTAGATCTTATCATCTGGACAACTGAGCAGTCATCACATGCATTCCCTGATAAAATTGTCCTAACCTCTGACCCTTCCCTGTGTATCTGAAGAACCTGGCCTTCACCACCAGCCTCAGAAGGTCCCCTGAAGTGTCATTCAGAGTTAAGGAGGAGCCTGCATATCCACTCCCATTATCAGAACAGAAGGTTCAACCAGGATGTTGGCAAACCTAAGGCCTTCTGTATCAGTGGAAGAATCCTGAAAATTGACTTGTTCTACTTTGAAAAAAATAAAAGAGGGATAGAGATTTTTAATGCTACAGATGTCTAAAATTCCAATATGCAGTTTTTTACATGTAACAAAATTAAGCAGTGCAGAAAGTAAGCAATTACAGTCATCTAGCCTCGTCAAAATGAGTTCATTTATTCCCATGAAATTCCCAATCATTCTCACCCAACCTGCAGTCAGAACTATGCAGAGCAGGCCGCATGGTTCTTGTCACTGGAGGAAGGAGCAGGTTAAAGACGAAGGCCAGGCTTGGGTTGTGAATGCAGATGACAGAGCTGAGCTCAGATGCTTGCCAGCAGCACTTTGGGCGGGGGGGATAGGGGGACTCTGTTGAAGCAGGAACAGAACAGCTGCTGCCATTCGACTTGGGTTGGCAATTCTACTGCTGTCCCCTCCCATCACTTCCAGCGCAGAAATGTTGGGTTGGGCTACGCTCAGGTATGATGATGGCTTCCTCGCAGGTCCCAAGGAGCTGTGGCTGGAGGTCACACAAGGCCAGGTGGGATGGCGCTGTCCAGGTGCAGTTTCCTTCCGCTAGAGGCTGCCTTGGTGGCCTCTGAGAAGCTGGGCTTGTTTCACGATGGGGTGATAGTGCCGTTCGATAATCTACGTACTCAGGCGGTGGAACTAGATCCCTAGAACGGGGACAGGGATCCAGGAATGCCTGATGGTGTTCTTTGTATAGTTATAGGAAGGGGGCGTGTCCTGCCATCCCCGGCTTTTCATGAAGGATCTAGCAAGTGACCAGGGGACAAGAGAACTCTGTGAGCTGGACACTGAGGCAGACTCCGAGCAGCATTGAGACATCCCCCTAGGGCTGTTTGCCCATGAGTCTCTGCTCATGTCACAAGCATGTCCTAGACACCCCCTTTGTGTCAGGTAGCTACCCTCAGGGAGAGCACTGGCTAGCCCAGGAGAAACAAATATGCACTTCAAGAGAGAATAAGGTCCCAGGCACAGTGATAAAGGCAACGAGAGCCGACGTTTATGGGACATTTACTAGGCACCAAGCTCTGCTGCTAGGCGTTTTGCAGGAATTCTATCTTTAAACTCTCACTGCAGCCTTAGGAGGCAGGGACTACTTCAGTCCCATTTTGTAGATGAGGAAACCAAGGTACATAGAAGTAACTTCCCAAGGTCCCCAAACTGGTAAGTGGCAGAGTTCAGATTTGAACCCCTGTCTGCCTCCAGGCACTGGGGAGGAAGAGTGTGTTCAGGGTGGAGGTGGGTGGCTGCAGTCTTCTTAAGGAGATGGCCCTGGCATTGTCTCTGAAAGATGTGTAGGTGGCCACCAGGCCAGCAGGCAGAAGCCAGTCTAGACAGGTCACCATGAGCTGTGACAGAGAAAGATGAACAGAGTTGATGAGTGTGGGGAGCTCTAGGAATTTTTAAAATCTGAAATATAAGTTTCAGGTTTGTTCTAGATACTGGAACAGGCAGGTGTTTTCTGGACAAAACTGTACATTCTCACCAAGTAGGATCATTCAGGAAATTTTGTTTCAGTGACGGGACAGGGGAAGCAGTCTCCTGCTATGGCACAAGCTTGGGGGTTATGCAAGAGTAGGTGTATGAGAACATCCACTTACTAGCTATGTGACCCTGGGCAAGTTACTTGATCTCTCCGAACCTGTTTTCTCATCTGCAAAATGGGGTATAACATAATCTTTGCTAGGTTCTAAGGAGATAAATGAGTATAGAATTTCCCTTATTTACCAAAGGGTACTCTAGGGCCTCTGATCCTTTCTCCTAGGCAGGGTGGGGTTGTTGATGTGATTACCCTGTATTTAGAGTGTCTTTGAAGAGCTCCTGAGGGTTGGGTCAGCATCCCAGAGTCTGATCCTTCTTCTTAGTTCCCGCCTTTCATCCAAGTGAAAGTGAAAGCCCCCTCCAAGGCAGCATTTGAAACTGCTGTCATCTCAGATTTCTCATATGAAATTCTTATATGTGTTTGCAATCACTATGTTTGCTTTAACTAGCTTTAAAGGATAAGATTTTAAAATTAAAAAATAAGAGATGTCTAGTTTGCTTCTACTATTATAACGGGAGGAAGGGTAGGCCATGCAAAAATCATGTTCTCGAGCATTTAAAGGAGACCACCAGCACCATCCATCATGGACATGAGTGGAATGTGGGATTTGGATTTTCATTTACCTCCC